TGTTCCCATACCAAAATCTTTACATACTTTGGGATTCACCTCATCAGACTGGCACTGTCCTTGGCATGATTTCGAATGAGACGTTTCTCTCTTTTCTCCCATATTCTCCTGTTACTCTTTCGCATTCATCGCTTGCATTCACTTCTTATGTTTGTGACCATGCACTTCAAAAATAAATGATAAAATAGTCAATTTTTCTCGAGCTCTCCTCCTTTCTTCCTCTAGCTCCTCCAAAGACAAGCAAGCATGTTGCCGGCCATAACCTGATTTCCAGATCAACCGGAAGGCGCGGATGTCGACCGTACATCACAATAAACGGGGACTTGCCTGTATTGTTGACTGTATGGAATCACGATGAGCTAGCAACACCTTTGGCACGTCCAGCACCATAGACGCCTTGACTGGTAGGGTTTCATCGTGAGAGGAAGTGGCCTGTGTCACGCACTGGATGATAGTTCAGTCTCGTGTTAGTTGTAGGCGAAGATCACCTGTCCACGACCCAGAAGCGATAAGTGAAGTTTTCCAGAGTATGCAAATGGGAGTTCACGTCAGGTGACAACTCCAGATGCGAAAAGTTGGGCTTATAGAATACGAATTGAGAAATGATTGGTCGTCAATCAATAAATTGTGTGAATACGTTTAATAAACAAGTGATTTAGGGTCTTGAAACTGAAGGAGATCGTAATGAACCTTTGGAAATTCGAATAAAACTGAATCTTATAACGCTAACACACTAATCATAGGGTTACTGAAGACTTTTCAACACCCCACAACAGGTTTCGTGCTTATTGGGGCTTATCATTTAGACAAAGTCCCCCAGATTCTGCCAACCATGCGTTCTACTTGAGCCCAAATTGCATGAATGCATTTGCCGGAAATCAAATCGTCTCTCACCCATTAAAACTACTACTGCATACGGATCAGTAGACTTGTCACGATGTGACTTCCATTTAACTAGCAATGTAGTATCATCTCAGCATTTTTATAGTGATACGCGTAAGCGCCTTGGTATCGGAGATCTACGAAATAACGCTGTGAGAAGAAATCGGAGAATGTGGGCTTTTTCTTTCCTCAAATGACGTCTTGAACTTTTTGCTTGATTTTTTAAAAACAAAGTATCCAAACCTTTAGACATAACACACTACTCATAAGGTCGCTGATGACCCTCCAACAAACCACAACAGGTTCTTCTCAGAAAAAGAACAATAACTTTATCAACGATTTGTTTTAGGTTCTCCAGGCCTTGTTTGACTTGGTTTCAACAAAACTCAACTTAACAACGAAAGACTGCCCACTGCTGTATTTCTGAAAAAAGAGTAAACTTTACAAATATTTTGTTGGATTTGTATTAATTGGTCGGAATAAAGGACACTTCTGGGGGAATGTTTTCCCTGCAGTCTTTTTGAGAGATGAGCATTTCGCACCAGAACGACTCCCTTGGGGGGAGAAGAACCAGAATCATAAATTGTGCTTCCCGTCAATCACATTTGGTTCTAGCTTCCAACTGAATCACTGACCGGACCATGAAAGGCAAGAATAACCGTTTTTTCTAGGGTAGAATTGTCAATCCAGGTAAACGAAAAACAAAAATATGTACTCTTTCTGAAGGTGTCTTTTAACCAGGTAGTGATGCCCATATTCCAATGCTGATTTCTTGGGCACCCTCGATGTGCTTAAGCGCATGACTTTCTTAGTTCAGGAACCAATATTCTGTTGAAATCGAATGACTTTTTTATCAAGTCAAGACTTAGGTATCGTGATCGAACGTTTTGTCGTGTTGGTTCACTACTTAACGGAACCTACTTAACTCTCTGTCAGTAGTATGGGATCTGCGACGGGTGAAGCCATAATCAATGGTGACATTCACATCACCTGAGTGAAATCTAACGATTCAGAAATAACATGTTATTTAAACTGGCATTCAGCTGCCATAATGTTCCTGAGTCTTGTTCGCAAAGGCTCAGCTTTTTCACCTTACCTATCTTACATTTAATCGTCAATTGAATTCATCTCTCTTCGAGCGCCTAAGAGACCCAATGTCGTTTTAATTATTTCTTAAAAGTAACTGGTTAACTTCAACGTTCACAGTCATTCTTGATTTAAAGAAATCTTGAATAACTTGTTAGAAGGTCGAAATTCTGCGCATTACTGGGTTGTGCGTGCTTGGTGTCTGTACGAGACAGACCTACCAGTTGTACAAGCAAGATGTCCTTGAAATCTCAAGTTCAAAGGAGGACGTACTTTTTAGCAGTAAACGGTGCCTATTATCCGCACAATGCTATCAGCTGCATAATCTTCAAAAGTGGAGTAAAACTTTCTAAGCCAAAATGTTGCATTTTGTAGCGTATGTGCTCAAACCAAAAATCGCCTTAATCTACCTAAATATTACTACAGCTCACCAAATTTCATTGTTCACTGGAGCAACCTTGCCTCTGGTTGAAAAGTCTTGTGGGGTACTTTCCGAGCATCGCTGAGACCCCGGGATGCCCACATGGGGCTTAAGAGATTGGACTGGCTCTCTTAATTCGATTGCCCGAGTACTTTACTCCATCAGGGACACGTCATAACTTTCGAAAATTCAATTCCATTGTGCGAATACTGAGCACCGCAGTAAACAGTGCAAACTTTTCACTGAGGCTTGCGATCAAACCAGCAAGCCCTCCCTGTCCCACTCCTCTCCGAGCATCCATTCCAAATTCACTCCAATTTTTACGTCTGCCAGATTCGAAAGCGTCGGGAGTTTCGCAAGCGGTCATGCGAAATGCTGTCTACATATGCTACCTCAACAACCACAGAGAAAACCTTACCGTCACAGCTGTCACAAGGTCAAGTAAGAACAGGGAAGAAACTAATCGAAGTTAATCAGAACTTGAAGAACAACAAACTACCGGGTTGATAAAATTCCACTCTGAACGACAGTGCTGATTTATGGGGTGAGGATGACAGCCTTGTATTGTGAACGGGATTAAAAATATCTACCCAGTTATTTCAGGGACAACTTTTCAACTTTCTGGTCAACGTGGATAGAAAAGTGATATACCCATATAGTTGATTCGGTTTAAGAATGACACAGTTACACCAACCAGACCAGATTTATTTTTGACGAAGCAGGCGTATGTATCATTAATCATGGTAGTACAATCTGTAGCCAAACTGTGGAAATAAATCTTGTATTTCTGCGACAGATGAATCCCAAAGGAGGGTATGTAACAACTGTTCAAAAGCCCGCTGTCCTAAATAGTCTAAGGCCGGTTATCAGACACACAAAAATTGTTTCCCCTTTGGGAGAACATCAAGAACCGAAAACAAGTCGAACGAAAATGTGAAAAATACTTAACCGTGGCAGGGAGCATTACTAACGATCACCTGCACATCAGTAAGTACTAATTTTGTGGATACACATTGTGTGAAGAGATGTATGGCGTTTTCATAACCACCTGTATTACCTGTGTAACAGTGATACTACTGATGAGGGAGATATGCGAGTAGTATGTTTTCTCGTAAATCCGCTTTGCGTCTCTTGAAAAGTGGGATATATTGCGGAATTTGTGGAGTCGCTTTGTAGCAACAGTCAATGAATATCCAGGAAAGTTCAGGAAGACGCGTTCAAGGAGAAGATGGATATTCAATTTTTGTAAACACGATTCATATGAGAGTTTTGCTTCCCTATCCAATATTCTGTAACTGTTCAGTTAGCATTTTCTAATAAATAACTCCGCAGCGAAAGCCTTCTTTTCAGCTGGACATCCAACAGAAGCTGCCAGGAGAACGAAGGTAATGAGCCGTCAGGTTTTCCGTTTGTTTTTGAAGACTTTTACAAACAAACATCAGTTTGAATTTCACGCCAGTTCAGTTTGGCATCCACAAACCGTGAATTGTGGACTTACGTACTACGTTTTCAAACTTCCTAGTATACGCTGGCGAGTAGTATGGGATGGAATGGAAAAATGGGTTTTAAAAACATATGGTATCAAATGATGACCTTCTTAATGCCTGAGCCCTGTCAGCCAGGTGTTCATCACGTGATATGTAAGCAAAGTTCACACACTCGGGGCAAGATGGCTCAGTGGTCGGAGCACGAATTTACTGACCGGAAGGTCCCGCAGTCCGAACCCGACCTCTAACTCACGACTTCTCCCGTCTAGGCTTGAATAAACCCGGCAGAATCCAAGCCCTCGTGCTTCCTTCGGGTGTCATGGCAGTCACCACACTTAACGACAAAGATTATCTGGGGCACTTTGCAGCAGACGGGGCCTGAACAATATCGTCTACAAACTTCAGGTCTTTAAGCTTAACTGGTGGTCCCTGAAAAGGACAAAAATGGTAGTTGGATGTTGAAGAGTTTTCATCGATCTTGTGACTAGTGCGTTCCATCAAATTCACGGGAGAATTTTGGGCAAGTTGACTATCACACGGTAAGAAAGCCTTGTATCAACAACCTGAAGCAAATGGAATTTTGGCTGACGGATAGATTTTTATATGTGTGAGATGAATTTTTATAGAGTAGTAAAAATGGCTTCCGACGCACCAATTGCGACTACTTTCTGGAAAGACTGACACTACAGCCCTGCAACTGGCTTTTTGAATTTGTTGTGCAGGGGGTGGGGTTGAACTTCACCATCAGAGTCTGTGGCAAACTTTCACGGCCTCCGAAATACAGCGATTAATGCTTACTGTAAACTCGCCAATGGAATAACGTCTCTTAGAGGTATCCTTTCAACCGCATTCCATTTTTTCCGCAAAAGTACTTGTTTTCTATTATCCCTGGTAGGGGGAATCCTACTTTGCAGACAAATGTGCTTGCCCTTCTAATTTGGATCGCCACTTGAATTTTGTTCTCAAACGTATTCACGTAAAGGCTAATCTCTGCTCTCTTTTCCACTCCTTTAGTCCGAAACCAGGACGTTTTGTTTTACCTGACTTATTGTGGTTGCGAGATTTTCACCGGGAATATTTCTTCCGCCCAACTCCTACTCAACTTGCTCTGCTTTCTGATTGGTCGAATTGTGAAGGATGTCAAAAGTTACCCGCTATGACGATATTTGTGTTCCTTATCCTCACTTCATCTATGTGTCAAATAGATGTCTGTGTGGGCGTTTGTGGAGTTTGTAGAATTCACCCCGGACTCGAGTTTCGCTTTTATTAGAGCTCACCAGCAGTGCATATTTTTGCCGTGCCAGGGTTCGAACCCCGGGCACTACTGCTCTACCGGTGTACACTAAACGCACTTGAATTTTCACTTCCTAACATGCGAACGTGAATTCTAAAAATCCCGCAAACATTTGTCCAGCAGGTTTCGAGCGTCCGACTGAGAAGTCTTCACAGGTGGGTCAATAGATCGTCGTTCAAGACATCTGGCAAAGCAATCACAATCAAGCGTGAATACGTTCGCCTGTGAAAATGGATTGCCGAAACTGACGGTCTACAGCTTGGCATGCAATAAATGTGTTCGAATCGTGGTTCGACAGCGAGAGTGGTGCCATTAAAACGGCTACTATTCATTTCAGCTGCTTCCATATGCTATGGTATACGTTTCTTCTACTCAAACGGAGCGGCATTCACTGAAACTCTTCAGTGCTCGTCTGATGGCACTGAATGTTTGGCTAATTCCTGCAGTTCTGCAGTTCTTGCTTGTTGACCAGCTGGCTGTTCATCTGCTCTCCGAGATTGGAAGTTAGTTTTTCGGGACGGCCAATCTTACAAGACACTGTTAACCGTTCACCAAACAGACGCATTGGAGCTACCAGTGAAAGGAAAAATGCCCCATGCTCAGAAATCGTTGATAAGCGAACACCAACTAAGCGCTTACAAGCTATTAGACACGAAAGTAAACATCTCGTGCACAAAGTTTTTTTTGAAAAGTAAACGTTGTCAATGGAATTCTTGAACACTTTTGAACGTTTATTGAGTATTAAACAATAATGAATGAACACTGCAAAGCGGTTTTAAACATCCCCTAGTAACCTTAACCTTCCACCAGATGCGGGGGCGTAGACTACTAACATGCTTCATCAGTAGTATACGCCTCCGAATTTTTCCTCAAAAACGTAAGATATCTAGGAGGCATTGTTCTCTCTTTCTGCACCTTGTATGCCACCGGTTTTCAACCTTATCTTATTTTAAATCTTGGTGATTCCGTCCAAAGGTCTACCAGAGGTGGGTTCTCCTTTGATTACATAATACTCGATGGCCTTGCTTTGTATCGCTACACGCTTTCTGTATCTCTCGAAACTTCTGCCTCTTGTATAGTTGTTTGTGCTTTTCTGTGCACGCATTTTCCTTTGTTTTTTATCGATCTAGCAAAGCAGTTATTTGTATATAAACGCCAAATCTGTTTGGAATGCATGGTACTGTTGAGAGTTTCCCCAGCAAATTCTGCGAACTCAATTTTTGTACGCATCCTCTGCACGAGATATTTACTTATTCAAGTCCAGTGGGTACATTTATTGACCAATTATGTCCAGTAGAATAATTGTCATTTTGCAAACAACTGGTTATCCACATTTAACCAGGTCCGCTTTGAAGACAAAAGTCGGCTGCTCCGAAGTTGCAGGTGAGCTGTCATGAATGCGCTCAGATCACATGCAGTGATGTGAAACACCGAGTAAGCTTGCTTGTTTCCTCTGCCCATTTTATGTCTTTACCAAGCGTCAGCAACGATGTTGGGAGTTACAAATACGAATAACAAATTTTACTACTGATAAATGCTTCACTAAGAAATATTGCTTTAAGAATTCCCAAGTTCCAGAATTTTCCACTGGGTAAGTGGGTAGGTGCACGACACCTGCACACCAAGATTGCTACCGGTGAAAGGAAGAAGGCCTACGCTGCGGAGTTATTTATTAGAAAATGTCAACTGACCAGTTACAGACTAATAGACAAGGAAGCAAAACTCTCATATGCATCATGTTTATAAAATCTGAATATCCATCTTCCCTTGAACGCGTATTCCTAAACTTTCCTGGATAATCACTGACTGTTGCTCAAATCCAAGCAAATACAACTTCCGTAATAGATCTCACTTTTCAAGAGACGCAAAGCGGATTTACAAGAAAACATACTACTCGCATGCCACTCCCATCAGTAGTATCACTGTTGCACCAGTAACGTCAACTTCCCTAGCTCATTAAATCGTTATTTAATTTAAGTTAGTTAAAAATAGTAGCCTCTATATTATCCATGATCGCTCTTCTACATCGAAAGTCCAAGCATGTTAAAGCTAGTACATATAATCTAAACAGCTAATTCATCCGTTTAGAGTGAAATGTCTGTCTGTTCTACAAAAGTTCACCTGCGGTTCACCGGGTACCCGCGGTAGTGAAACATGCTACCTTTAGCCAGTCACTTTGGGCGTATTTCAAAGACACCCTCCCCCACCCGTCACCTGAAATGATTTTTCTCAATGGGAACGTGTATAGTATACACTGGATAGTCATCCTTATCCGTGAAACAGTTGTTCGACTGAGCACTACTGGACCAGGAAAAAGGTGCATTTTGAAAATAACTATTACAGGCTTACTTTACTAATCATTATATTAAATAATGACATGTACAAAAAATGAATCGTTAAACTGTTGCCTGAGGAGAAAATAACTGCATAGCGATTCGCGCGTATGTTGCCTAGCAACACCATGTTACAGATTCGCACAAAGTTTTCGTTCTCTCTCTCTCTTTCTCTCCCTCTCCACACTAATTACTCGAGCAATTCCACCTGTGGAGAGAACCTACCTAATCACTCTAAATAATACAGAAGGTTGCCGAACGTTTATCCCAAAAAGGGGAAGTGGGCAACACACTCAATGTGGATAATGACACATCACGTGACTCTCCAACCTGAAACGGCCAGCTTCCTTTGTCTTACACGCAATCGAGCTTTTTGTATGTGTGGGCATGTAACGGAAGTAATCCAATGTAATGCAATCTATTTTCGATCCACTTTCCGTTCAACTCAACCAAACAAGGAGGAATTCGAAAATTATGATTCGGTTTATCTTACTGGCTGCCGGGGTAGTGTTTGTTGTGAACACACTTCTTGTAAATCTGTGGATCGGTTGTCCCATTCGACTGATACAGCATGGTTTCGACTGACATTCAATTCTTGAATTAATTTAAGGCTGATAAAGCACGTGTTTGTCGATGAAACTCTAGAACAGACCGTGACCTAGGTTGGAAACAGGTAATGAACACGGACTGCTCGGCTCGACGTTTCATGAGGCATGTATATTACCCAAAATTACAGCAAGCATACTTCAAAATAAGGTTGCCCGCCACCTAAAATAGACCCTGAAGAACCCCTTCATCCGGTCGCATGCACTTCAAACGATTCACAGAATTGAAAGTGTCACTAGGATCACAAAGTAGTGCAGAACAACCATTTTGTTCACCGTACTTTTCACTCGCATATTATCAGGAAGGTCGGATTCCTGAAAGTAACCTCAGAACACCCAGAACCTACTGCTCCACCAAAATCTCAACAGGAAAGCCGACAAGCATCCAGGCCAGTCAATCATTCAATCGATTCAGCAAAAGTTGATGAGTGCTCTTGCACGCCAAAGAAGCACGACCGAATGTGATCAGCGTTCAAGCATTTCATAGAGGCACGATCTATGTTGATGGATGTTCACTAACGTCTAGCAGACAGCCTGGATCAATGTCAGAAAGTCCCCTTTAAATAGAGTGGGGCCGTTGTAACTTTTGCTCTCGCACTCGCGCGCACTCACTCGCTTGCTGGGAATATAGCGGTTGTTTTTCCTTCTGTGAGTCTTTTTTCACCGGCACTAGGCACTGGAGTGGGGTTAGCAGCAGATACCACAGGTGGCCGAATCAGCAGATATAACACATATCTTCGCTATTAATGCGCACGCTAGAAAAGAAAGAGTCTGAAAATCTTATCAGTAGTAGTTTTGTGTATGCCTCCTGGCACTTTTAAACTTTAGCTGAATAAAACTCATCTTTGAGATAAGGTGTCCATTAGTACTCTTTTCCGTATGTGGTCAGTTTCCGTCTCATTCAGATCAGCAGAGCCGTTTGGTCCCTATGACTAATGTAATACATTCACCCTCTCTGGCAACTTCGCCATTCACTGTCTTCAACTACGTCTCTACTTTCAATGATTTCTGAATCAGACTGGGTGTGCTTACACCAAACCTATGACCTCAGTACAAATATAATAACTTTTAGTCGTAGATGATTGTGGGCTTTGTAACATTCAAGTTCACATCACTCTCGTCCGAACAGTCGTCCTTATGCTCCGAAGCAATCATTCTGCTGAGTCCACGCCAAAGAGGGAATAATCAACTGGAGTTTCGCTCTTGTTAGAGGTCATGAGCAGTGCATATCCTATGGCCGTGTCACAGCTTGGACCCCGGACATCTAACAAGCAAGGCGAACGTGTAACCACTACTCTACCAGCATACGGTGCACGCATCTGAATTTCTGAGTCTGAATTGGCAAACATGTTTACGACTGAGTGATTGTTAACAACGGTACCAACTCTGTATCTCGGCTAACCTTGGTCACAAAGGCATGATCAAAAGCCTCTTGTGCTGCGTGCACAAAGCGATCGATTGATGAGCACTTGGATGAGTCGCCACACCAAACCTCATACGCATGGTGCAGGTAGACCCCTGGGTCACCAAAAATTAACGGATGAAACCTGACTACTTCAAAGTAGTCAGATCCTGACAAATTTTGTCGCACAAACTAAATCGGGAAGTCACTGATTCAAGTTCACCGTGCTTGGAGCTACGACTAGAACTGTTAATCAGACTGGCACCCAACCGATCTCAGAAATGTCTAGCTTTTGACTCCATGTCTGGACGTGATGCAGCGTGAGCTAACCATGTGTCATCCTTATAACCGGGTAATTTCCCATAACTAGAATCTGGACATAATTCCGCACTTCCCACAATCTTTGTCTTGCTGACAGTTTGATCGCTGGTCGACAGATAATTTGCGATTCTGTGTGAACGGGATGGGGTTTCAGCCAAAATGATGAGACGAGGTTCTTTTTCTTTCAACCAGTCAGGCAGCGAAAATGGTAAGAGAAATAAGGAATTTGGAAAAATGGGTTCTAAGTATCCATGTGAATGGTGAGGACACTGCTTCAACTAAATCAGTCTAAAATGAACAGAACTGCTGAAGTTTTCCAGAGGCAACACACTACTCGACGAAAACTCTTTGGCAGCTCACAACCTATTTCACCATCCTTGGGGATCATCAGGTAGGCGCAGTTCCCGAGTTTCTCGTCTGGACAACAACGTATTGCGCTACCGCGAATACTGTGCCAATCGAAGCATGAGGCTGCCTGGTATGGCACATTCAGTTGAAGCAGCCCATCCTGAGCGAGGGCTTCAGCTGAGTTCCAGGTGAGTCTAGTGCCAATACCAAGTTCGTGTACAAATTAGAGCATCAGTCAGAAACGACTGGTAAACACAGTGGTGGCTAGTGGACTGTCATGGGGAAGTATGCAGGACTCGTGGTTCGTACTCATGTGACAACACGCTGAATCGCCACAACAGTTTTGCATCCTGATGATGGTAATCGGGTAGTAGACTATCAGGAAGGTCAACTTCTTGAAAGCAACCACTGAATGCCCGAAATCTACGGAGAATCTCAGTTCCGCGAGATGTTGACCAGACAGATAACGCCCCCGCAATATGCAGCACGTCACAGCCTTGTATCAAACCCAGACAGCGAGAGTCAGCGTTGATCAAGGTCAGGCAACGCCCCCGCAATATGCAGCAAGTCGCAGTCTCGTATCAAAGCAAGACCGTGTGAGTCAGCATTGGACCGAGCTCAGACAGTGTCCCTCCAATAGATAGCTTGAGACCGTTGTACATTCGCACTCGCACTCGATTGTTCGGAATATAGCTGTTGTGTTCCCTTGTGTGAGCCTTTTTTTCCGGCATTAGGCACTGGAGCGCAGATACCACAGTTTGGCAAATCAGCAGATATAACACAGACCAAGAATCACGGCAGCATGTTGCAGATGGATATGTCCTACGTGTACAATCAGCTTCTGAATGAATTCACCGTTCATTCGTTAGGGCCTCTCCTTTCATTGGTTCTGACACAAGCGTCGAAACGCCACAAATCACCGTAACGTTTTTTTACAGCCAATGAATCTGTCTCAACGAAAACGGTTATCCCATTGGCTGTTATGTAGTCCCGTGATGCCTGGGAATGGTTCACCTAATAGTAGGCCTCATGGTTGACCTGAAGTTTACAGTGGAAAAACGGGACATTAGCTTAGTGGTCGAACCTCTGCCGAAACACGTCTGATCGCAATGCAGACTCCTATGAGAATTAGTGGCACTGGTCTGTCTCTTCCGAATCCCACAAAACCCCACAACTGAATACCGAATAGTGGAAGCAATAAAATTCAAACTACCTGTTCGCACACCCAGTATCCTGGAGTTAATGGACGAAACAACCATCTATATTGGTAAAAATCACAAATCCTTTTCAATATGAATACCGACACATCGTCAGTAAATCTGCCGATTCAGGTCTGCATAAGGCGTTTGCTGAACTTTTAATTTCTTCAAAATGGAACGCAGCTACGATTAATTAATTAATTAATTAATGACTAGTTAGTCGTACCAACACCGTGCTTTTGTTTCCTCTTTCTTTGAACTGTGTGTGCGTGTGTCTTAGAACCCTCATCGAAAAGCTGATCGACCGACTTAAGACAAGTTTCTTTATTTTATGGACTAGATGAACCCTGAGATCGGCTTGTGAGTCGTATTGTTCTCTCCCACCAATAAGGATGAGATTTATAATGCACTACTCATAAGGTTGCTGAACTCCATCGAGAGCTACCGACCGGTTTCGCCCTTCTTGGGGCTCATCAGGTGGGCGCAGGCCCCCAGTTTCCGTCAACATTATGTTCTACTTCAAACCAAATTGCACGAAATTCGCGAAGTACATTCATTTGCAAACGAATTCGTTTTTTTTTCGAGACTCACCTGGAACCCAGCTGAATCTTTTGTTTATGATTTTCCCAGACAACTGAATGTGCTGCACTTCAAGTTTCAGTCGCTACGATACTCGAGATATCGCAAAACATGTATATTCATACACACAACTCATGTAACTAGATTCGGACGAATG